TTCAGTCACAGCCCATTTTAATGTCAAAAGTTCTAGTTTCATGGCGCTGTAATTTGTCATGTTCTTCTCTGATTCCTTCAGAGCTCGACTGGCATACGCAATAACCCTGAAACCTTGCTGTTGTTGTTGTGATAGCACAGCTCCCAGACCTTTAGAGCTGGCGTCAATTTCTAGCCGAAATGGTTTGTCAAAGTCTGCGTATCCTAATATCGGCGCCTCTGTCAAAGCCTTTTTCAAGAGCTTAAACGAGTTCAGGCATTCATCAGTCCATAATTCACCTATCCGGTGTGTTTTACCTTTCTTTTTCTCCTTACTGTGTTTCTTTGTCATTTTGTTTACCAAGTCATGCAATGGTGCGGCAATTTTTGCAAAACCAGGTACAAATTTTCTATAATAGGAAGCAAAACCCAAGAATGACCTGACCTCTACCGTAGTTGTTGGTTGTTTCCATTCTTTAACAGCTGCAATTTTATCTGGGTCAGTGGCGATGCCATCCGACGAAATCACATAACCCAAAAAATGTACCGATTTCAGACCAAAGCAGCATTTGTCTGGGTTCAGCTTTACTCCTATCTCCCTGAGACGGAGAAACACTTGTTCTAATCTTTTTAGATGGTCCTCCCAAGTTTTTGAGTAAACTAGAATATCATCCAAGTACACCAACATTATTTGAAATAGAAAGTCACTCATAGCACTCTGCATTACTCGCTGGAATGTAGCAGGTGCATTAGTTAGACCAAACGGCATACGGGTCCACTCGTACAGTCCCAGTGGAGAAATAAATGCAGTTTTATGTTGATCGTTGGGGTGCATGGCCACTTGGTGGTAGCCGCTAGCCAAATCCAAGGTAGAAAAAAATCTTGCTCCCCCCAACGCATCAAGACATTCATCAATACGAGGCAAGGGGAATGCATCCCTTCTTGTGATATTGTTCAATTTCCGGTAATCACAACACAGTCTTATCTCCCCTGACTTCTTTTTTACCACTACTATCGGTGCCGCATACGGGCTTGTACTGGTTGTAATAATTCCCTTTTTTAGTAGATCATTCAGGTGTGCTTTCACCGCCGAGTAGTGACTTGGTGGTAATCTTCGGTAGGGTTGCGCCACCGGCTTGTCTTGTAGTAAGGGTATCTGGTGTTTGATTACTTCCGTGTACCCCAAATCACCCTCATACGAGGCAAATATATCACTGTATTTATTCAGCAATTCATTTAGTTTTGGGTCCTCAGTTTCCGGGAATGTATATGATCGGCCATCCTCTTTCTTCACCTCGGCCGTCACATTGACCGACCTAATTGTTACTTCATTACTACTGGTATTGATCAGTTCGATGTACTGTGCCGACCTTTGTACCTCGACGTTCTGTGGTACTCCTACCAGAGTATTAGGCGGTATAAAAATTTCCTCATCCAAAACATTAGCTACCAACCCTTGAACTAGTCCGTTTTCCGCTGATGTGTATGTCCGCAGTAACACGACGCCTGCCCTCAGTGCGGCGCCACATGGTTCTATCATCACATCACCATTCACGCTTCTATCACCAATTTGTAATGTGATTGCCTTGACCGTGTTTGCCGGGACTGCTGTCCTTCCTCTGGTCTTGGCAAACCTGGCCAACTTGGATCCCCGACCTGGTGTGGTCGATCCGACAATATTTGTAAGAAATTCTGGCAACTGGCCAAGAATATTCATGCCCAATAGGCAAGGTATATTTGACACATTGGTCTCTAGGTTGTGTTTCGTAACGAACACCCCAACCTGCTTCAACCTATGTCCCGACACCACGACATCTGCCAGAAAATAACCACAGTATGGAATGGTTAGTCCATTAGCTGCCGTTAGGCGCATGCATGTGTCAGACCTCAACCTATGGTCTTTTCCTTTCATCCATTTGGTGTAAAAATTTTCCGTAATTGTCGTCACCTGGGAGCCTGTATCCACAACTGCCTTCACCGCGATGTCCCCAATCGTAATCACCATTTCTGGACAGACTCCCATCATTTTGTTTCTTGGGCCATAACCTCGCCCCTCTGTAGCCTGACCCTGCCTTACAGAGGACGACCGTTTCCCTGACAGTACCGTGCCATATGTCCGGGTTGTGAACAGGACAAGCAAATTGGTCGACCGTCGGCCGTCCATTGGAGTAATGGCTTGGCAGGACGCGGCCGTCCAACCTGTCTCTGTTTTGTCCCGTTCTTTTCCTGATTCTCAGCTGTTGACCTGCTTTCTAACCTCTCCAAACGTTGGTCAACCTTATCTAGGTGGGCCAACAGTTGAGCCATCATGGTCTCCATCGTGTCGGCCCCTGTGGGTGGGGATTGTTTCTGTTCCGGCACAGAGACTTTGTCCACCGAACAGTTCGATTGGTCCTCATCCTCGGACCTGCGGATCGCTGAGTTCCTGACCTGAAGGAAGGTCAACTGCGGGTCTTTGTGGACCTCCTCTTTCAACTCTCTCCTTAAGATCGGGGTTGCTAGCCCCTCGATGAAATGGTCCCTCAGTAGGCGCACATCAATGTCAGGTGTTTTGCCCTTTACCGAATCAAAGGCCCTGTTCATCCGGTGTGAGTACTCCATCACACTCTCCGCCATTCTCTGCCTTAAGCCTACGAACCCTGACAGCAGTTGCGATCCCGACCGTCTCTCCCCAAAGGTCTCCATAATCAGATCCAGCACCTTATCTGGATCTGATTGGATGGTTTTATCGTGGCATTTGACCTCTGCCCTAACCGTCTCTCCTATACTGCCCATCAGCAGTCTTAATCTTTCCTCTGGTGACATGCCTCTCGAGGCCCAGGCCGCTTTGACCTCCTCACTGAACCTGTTGGTTAAAGTTGGATCACCGTCCCCGTAAAATTTGTTAATGTGGGACTCTCTGGGTAGGACCACTATATGGGTCTGCTTCTCGTCCAGAGTAGACATTTTATTCCGTAAGTAACAAAAAAAGAGTTCTTTCTTACCGTGTGTGTATGAAAAATTTTTCTCGTTCCTCAATTTTCACAGTTCCTGAATGTCCGAATTCACACACACACACAAAACACAGTTATGCACAAGGTTGACTATGGGTGCCTCAAACGGCAAGTCTAGTTGAATTCATCCTGTCCGACGACGCCAATTGTAACGAGCGAACAGTTACCCTGCTCGCAACGCCACATGTTACGAGACTATTTGCCTGTAGTGCCAAATGTAACGAGTTTAACCACTCATTCTACACAACATCGACTACAGTAGAAATACTCGAAGATGCAGGTTCGCTATTGATCCTTTTATTACATGAATCAAGAAATGCTTCAAAATAACACAATGAATCAACAGGAATGCTTCACAATAATAGTCTGAATCAACTGACCCCTAACAGTCCTCACTAGGCTTCATATAACTGAATCCACATGTCTATCGTCCTTCTTAACCCAAGACGGCTAACCCGTTCTATAACCAACTGTCACACAGACTGACTGATCTAAAGCGAGCGATCGAAAGAGAGCGAGCTCCGCCGTCCCCTCCTATTTATCCCTTGTATTCGTACTCGTATTCGTACTTGTATTCATCCGTAATCGATATTTGTAATCGATGTCTCCGACTACTAGTTGCGCAGTTCTAACGTACAGCCCGATTAATAAAACATCTGCATCCTATCAATCAAAGTTGACAGGCCATCTGAATCCCCTCGTACCGTTTCCCAAAATAGCACGCGTTGGCTTTGAGATTGTTATCAGTCCGATTTAATAAGCCACCTGCTATCAGTTGCATCAGACTGTAATACTGCGTCGCGGCTTATCGTTCGTTATCAGTTGCATCAGATTGTAACTAGTAGTTAGGCCTACCCTAGTTACATATATATATATATATATATATATATATATATATATATATATATATATATATATTTATATATATATATATATATATATATATATATATATATATATATATATATATATATATATATATGTGGGGCGCCAAACTGAAAGGGGTCGCTATATACGCCTCTGATGGTCGGCTGTGGGCCCCTAAATGGCATGCCCCCCCCCCCCCCCCCGCATTGCGGGGTCTGGCGGCACTGTAGTTCCGCCCCTGCCCCCTTATCACACCGTCACAAAATTACGGACCCCATCGATCCCCCCTACGAGTGTGATGTCATTTGTGGACGACCCCTAACAGTAGCGTAGCGAGGGGGGGGGGGGGGGGGCGAGGGGACGACATATGTCCCCGGGCGCCGACCTTAGGGGGCATCGAAAGTGTGAGTGGCGGGGTGCAAATCGAGATATTAAAGGGGGGATGCAAATCGAAAGTTTGAGGGGGGGGGGTGGTGGTGGTGGTGCAAATCGAAATCTTGAGGGGGGGGATGGAAATCGAAAGTTTGAGGGGGGGGGGGTTGCAAATCGAAAAGTTTGTGCCCGGGTGCCGGAAACGGTCGCTACACCTCTGACCCCTATGGAACTTAGCAATAGTTTTGTATTTTAGTTAAGTGATCAAATTATGTCTGTATGCCACTTGAGCCAACGTCCTGTGACTTTTGGCCTCACCTTCCCCTACTGAAATCAGCGTCCGCCCCTTACACTCCCTTCCTCCCCACCCCGGAAATTTTAAGTTCCACTGTCGAAGAAAAATGTCTGAAAGAAACCTTACCCCTCCATATCACCCCACCTCCCAATCAGTGTTTCTTCCAGACTTTTTTCTCCGGGGGGGGGGGGGTGGGCACTTGAAATTTTCGGGGGGGCGGTAGACTTTCTACGGGGGGGGCGGTAGACTTTCTTCAGGGGGGGGGCGCGGACACTGTTAAAAGTATATATTTTCTATATAAATTATATACATTTCATTTCGTTCGGGGGGCGGTAAAAAATTTTCGGGGGGGGGGGGGGGGGGGAACTCTGCTCCCAATAGCATCACATGTTGTCACAAAGTCTGTGGCCTAGTCAAAAACTAAAACAAAATATTTTGAAAATATGCTTAGTATTGACGAAAGGTGTGCGTTGAATTGATTGTATGATGGCGTGATGTTGTGAGGCGACAACCTGAGTTTGAGTACATTTACCGGCTTATACTTAGATCTATAGAATCTAGATCTAGATCTAGCCTCATATCTAGAGTCTGGACTGGAGAATTCACTTTTCCTTATTCGACCTGTCCATTCATTGTCCCAGAAATGTGCAGTGACATAAATTTTAAAAGTGTTACATGTACAGCACCAGTGAACATAGCTGTTGTTAAATATTGTAAGTAGAATACTGATGAATAGATCTACGAGTCTACGAGAGATATCTATTATCTAGATCTAGATCTAGCTCTAGATCTAGTAGATTTTCTTATTAATTTTTTAATTAAAATTTTCTGTCACTTATCATATATCATTACAAACCATATCACTTACTGGTTAATTTGAAACCAAATTTATTATTTTTTTAATGGTCTAGCTCATGGGTTCCCAACCTGGGAGTCGCAGGGGTCGCGAAGGGCTTTCTGGGGGGTCGCCAACTGGTAGACTAAACTCTAGCAATGAATAAAAAACATAAATATTTAGAAAAATATTTGAAATTCGGCATTACTAACATAACTGGAAATGGAATAGAGAATAAACAATTTGTACTGTGACCTGTGCAAAGTTGTTCTTAGTCAGGAGTCTATAAAAACTTCCAAACGTCAATTTGAGACGAGTCATTCGGAACACACCAAAAAAGATATGTAGTATCTAGTTCTTTCGTCTGCATGAAGCTAGTTGCAAACGTCAGAGACTTGATCGAACAGAACGTTTTCACCAAGAAAACACAGCATTAGTGCAAGCATCATATGAAGTAGTATTAGAAATTGCCAAGCAAAAAACTTCTCACACAAAGGAGAAAATCTCATCAAACCATGTATGCTGAAGATGGTAAAATTAATTCTTGGGGATTCCAGTGCAGTAAAGATGCAACAAATATCTCTGTCTAATGATACTATGCAGCGGCTTATGTTAAAAGACAAATTTAGAATGAAATCAAGCTTTCACCATTTTTGGATTTTCAAGTTGACGAATCAACAGACGTGAGTTCGTGTTCGCAGTTGCTTGTCTTTGTGAAATATATTCATTCAGATGTTAGCAAATAAGAGTTGAAGTTTTGTGAAGATATCATGGAGAAAATAAATATTAAAATGGGAAAACGGCTGTGGGGCTTGTACGGATGGTGCGTCATGTTTCAGTACGCTGGCTGTCAATAGGAAATGTCATTGAATTGAAAGATGAAATCAAGATGTTCTTGGAAGTGCACGGAAACAAGACCTTTTGATATATTTTAACGACATGGTGTGGTTAGAGAGTATCGTACCTAGCAGATATATTCGAACATCAACATAAGCTTAACCTGATAAAGGAACAAATATTATCTCTTTTCATGATAATCTCTTGGCATTTTTATCAAAGCTGCAAAATTGGCGAGGAAAAATAAATATTTGAAATACTGCCATGTTTGAGAAACTCTGCAGTGTGGTGTGATAGATAACATTTTTAAAGGATTCTGTGCATCTTACGTTTTATGAAAGGGGGTCGCCACTCGAAAAAGGTTGGGAACCACTGGTCTAGCTTAATTAGTAATTAGGGGCAGAGAAAACAAACAAAAACAAAATAATCTAGATCTAATTACTGCTTAAAATGCAAAACTCTTTTTCGCCATCAAAAAAGGTCAAAAAGTTGGTTTGTGTTCTCTAATCTTAGCATGATGTCATGGCAATTACAACATTGGCTGTTTTACTTACCAAAAAAAACCAAAACATCCTGTTAGAAATAAAACATTGGTAATCTATCGCTTTAGGTATGTAAAATCGGCCGCGGCTAGTAATGTGCGAAAAAGTTGCCTCATTGTTAAGGCTTTAATAGAAATATATTGTGATATATTTGTGTCAAATATTATAGATAACTGAATTATAAACCATAATCTATGGCTAAATATATCAATATAGGCCAAAAATTAACTTTAAACAGCAGTGTTTGCGAGCAAGATTTGCTATATAAACAGCGGCCATCTATAAGTTAGAGGGGTTTCTCCTGAATTTCTAACTATAATTTTACCAAAAAAAAAACCAAGATGGCTGCTAAATGAGCTTGGTTGCATCTGATGAAAACATTGCTAGTCTTTATTTTTACTGAAAAGTTTTAGTTGTTTAAAACAGGTAGTCTATATTAATAAAATTTTTAAACAGTTTTGTAACTTTCAAAACAAAAATCCTCCTTAAAATGTGAAAAAGTTATAAAAATTTAATGAGTCACCTTTTTTTCACATTACTACTCTCAGCCGATTTTGCGTAGGCCTACCTAAAATGATAGATCACCCTAATTGTAATTTGTTATTAAATTGGGCCAGGGGGTAAAGAAGGGCACTAAGAGCCACATTTTTTAGCACCTGTATATTTTTAAAGATTTTTACTAATCCAAGTATTTTCTAATATTGAAAATAGTGGAAAATATTCTAACACATCTTACACAATAAAAAAATAATAACAAATAATAATATTTAATAAAATTTAAAAAATAATAACAAATAATAATATTTAATAAAATAATATAAAATTACCGATTTGTTTTGTTGACAATGTATTTTACGAAATGCAAACACTTTCAACTTTCCCTAAAATCTATTTTCTAAAAAGATATATGTGCCGTTTTATTCAGTACGCCGCGAATTATATTTAATAAGACGGTATACCAGCCACTAGGACTATGACGCTAGATCATCGGGCCGGAAAACCGGCTTTTCTGACATATATGCCTAATGTTGAAGCCGGTTTTCCGGCCTGTCAGGCTCAAAGGGTTAATAGGGCTTAATTATTTGTAGTTTTTTTTAGTGATTTTTATTTCAGTTGCATATTCATATTGTCTACTCTCTCTAGCATCAATATGCACATTTTTATCATCATCTGTTTAATAACTAAAATTGTATATATAAACCCAAAATAACTATTTTGCAACTTAACAAGAACATGGAGGCTGTTTTACCTTATACTTTGAAAATTCATTAAAGAAAACTACTGGCCTAAAATGAAATTTTGTGTAGATTATTGAATGTTGGATCCTCCTTCTAATCCTATGTACATTTTATCATTCTGTGATAATCAGAAACATTTTTACCAAAATGCCTACAGTCTTCTAGTCTCTAGAGTAAAGTCTAGGTTACCAGATCTATTTGGAGTCTAAAAAATGGAAGAGTAACCAGTGCAGTAAACTATTCAATTCTATAAAATTGATAACTCAATTTATGGGGTTGAACCGGTAAAGCTCACAGTTGCTAAACCAAAAAGGCCAGAGTTTGAAACTCGGGCAGATGAGGTTTGATAGCTGGCGACAGCAACCCATCTAGGAGAGAAAACTCCAAAATCAAACAACTGCTGCCTTGTAGTTTTCTTGGGTGGGCAAAGGCTATGGAAGCAAATCCAAAAAGAAAAGCAGGCTGAAATCTGAGTCAAAGAACCATATGGTGCATAACATGTTGACAAGTAATACTTAATTAATTGTGTTGGAGAAAATCCCATCCAACATTGCAATTAACCCTTTGAGCCAGCCAGGGCGGTAAACCGGCTTCAACATTAGGCATATATGTCCGAAAAGCCGGTTTTCCGGTCCGATGATCTAGCGTCATATTCCTAGCGGCCGGGATACCGTCTAATTAAATATAATTAGTGGAAGACTGACTAAAACTGCACATGTCTTTTTAGTGCGGGATTATGATTCTTAAAATAGATTTTAGGAAAAGTGAAAGTGTTTACATTTCGTAGCAATGCCGCCGAAACGAAAAGCTGAGCCACAGCCTTTGACTTCAGCACATAAAGTTGGTGCAAAAGATGAAGCAAAAGACCGAAATATTAACAAAAGAAGTAGAATGACTGCATCTCCGGCAATACAACTACTTATTGATTCTGATGAAGAAGATAATATTCCTAGTCTATCTTGTGATGATAGTGACGTTGAATTTGACAGTGACAATGAAACTGTTCTCGTACATTCTGATGCACGTGGTGTTGTAAAACTTCAGTCTCCTTGGTATGTTGATAATAATTCTTTTTCGGCTACAGATTCAACATTCAAAATAAGTTAAAAATGTAAATTGGTTTCTTCTATGTTCTATCAAAACAATAATTATGTCTTTGTTTTATATACATTGTTCTGTTCATATATTGTAAAAAAATAAGGAATTTCAGAATCTTGCTGCTTTGTTGTTTTATCCTGAGTCTTGATACCAAATAAGGCTTGATTATCTCAAACGGTTCAAAAGTTATAGGCAAAGCTAGAAGCATATAAGTGAAAATTGGTTTGGCCCTGGGAGCTCAGGAAATGGGAGAAATTAGGTCAGGGAGGCCAGGGCTCAAAGGGTTAAGAACGAAGAAGAAGAAAGTAACTCAATTACTAAACTAATAAAGCCAAGCCTAACATCACAAGATTAGTCTTATTTTTTAACCTGACGCAAGTCAGAGCTAAGGTGTAATTAATACATCCTAATGTATGAAAGCCCATGTGGCCACTTCTCTCTCTCTCTCTCTCGCATATGACGTCCGAGTCTATGAGATCAATATCTTCAGCAATATATGGAGATCTTAAAGATACAGACTTTTGTTGAAAATAATATGTTGAATGTACTAAATGTATAAACTAAATTTTATTTAAAGACGGAAAATAAAAATATAAGCATATTCGAATGTAGAGACACATTTTTAATTATGCAATTGGAGAAGTGTTTATGGTTGTGGCAAGGACAAAAAACTTATCCTGGTAAAGAGAATGACGTCACTGTCACATGAAACAAATAGAAAAATATCATTATGAAACAATATTAATAAAAAGTTTTAACAAGGGAAATACACAACACTTATGGCGTCATTGACTGTAGGATAAAAAATAGAATTAAAAATCAAATGTCAAAAATAATACACTAATGACATCATCTTGAATAAGATTCGATTTCCACATCTTCCAATTTTAGAATATGAAGAAATTTACTATTTCATCAAATTTGATTTAGATCTACTTATCAAGACGTACGCTATGAAAATTTATACATTTTTCTCGGCCAAAAATAATAAAAATAAGTCTAAAAAACAACAAAAATACAATTGAATAACTGGTATTTTAATGGAATCATTTAAGTCAATTAATTGGTGTGGGTATTTAATATGATGTTGTGTTGACTAACAATATATATTATTTGGTTTTAATTTTTCTAATAGAAATTGGTAGCTTATGTTATATTAAATGTGTAGGATTTTTAGCAATTTTGTTATTTCTTTGCTTTGTCACTAATATTCAACATGTAGTAAAGCACATTGCGTTTTGACCAATAACTAATAACTATTTTATAAAATATATTTCTCAAACAAGAATTAAATTTTAAAAATATAGGCCTATAATTCATGCGTAACGGGTACTGATGGCTAGTATTAATATAAAAATGACATTAAATAAGTGATGTGATAAAATTTATTGTTGATCCATACAAGATGTTTAACACTATCAGCTTTCTTTTAAATGTTTATATAAGCCTCATACTAATGACTTATATCTCTTCCATTACAGGGGGTAAACGAAATGAGAAATTAATTCTCCCTACAAATCCATCGTTGAGTGTTACACTTGGACAGAATGAGGTGAGTAATAAAGCATTTGCAGTAGTCTACCATGAGGCTAGTTTGTGTAGCTTTAACACAGCTAGTGATCTATGGGGGTGGCTACATGTAGGGGTGGTCTGGCCTGCCTGTCTACAGAGAAAAATCTCAGTGGACCCCCAGGAAAAACATCTCACTGGGTCACCAGGAAAGAATTTCTAAACCCCCAGGAAAAATCTCAGTTGTCCCCCAGGATCGGTGCTGTACTGTAAGCCCTTTGATTTAAAAAAATTATTTGTTTAATTTAGCTATTTCCCTCCTTTCAAATCAAGGTATAAGATTCAGGTCTTTATGTGGGATAAAATGCAGAACAAAAATTTTACTCTGGTGTTGGGGGCCCCTTTAAAATTTTCTGGACCGCTTAGCCACAGCCAGTCCACCCATGGCTACATGTGTGGTAGAGTTGACTCAGCTTACAACCTATTTATATTTCTTGACCATAAAACTATAACTATATTATTCAGTAAAAATATTAAAATAGAACCCTAAACCAGCAAGCTGATTCTTGAAAACTTTTATTTTAAAAGTCATTGTAGATCTTGCATTAATAATAAATAGTTTCTTCCCTTTTTCAGCTTCGTGCCAAAACTTCAGTTGCTATCAGTCCTGATTTCAGAGAGGATCGAATGTGGCTAAATGGAAAGTACTGTTGGTTTTTTAAAATTTACCATCTAAAAAAATTTTTAAATGTGCAACCAGATATATAGCTAGGGCCTACTACATATTTAACAGCTTTATTATTTTTACTCAAAAATATAAAAGTGAAAATATTTGTTTTTATAAAAGTTGTTTAAATTTTATGATACGTTTTCAGTTTAATATTTTAGTTAAAGAATGTTTGAAGTAAACAAACACAATCAGAGATAGCCTTATAATGTTTTAAATAATTTAAAATAGTATATCAAGTGAATTGTAGTTTAGTATATGTTTTGAAGTGTAGTTTTGTTTTGTTATTTGAAACTAAAAGTATTTCCTTTCACTAGGGAAGAGTCTGTAAACAGTCCAAGAATACAAAATGTTTTAAGAGAGAGTAAGTATTCTGTGTTTTGATTAATTTACATTTTTAATCTCATATTTTTATGTTGAGTTTTATAAACTAAGAAATTCTGTATAGAGTTAACGTTAGTAAATATTTATTTTTAAAACTTTATAAATAAACGTTATATGGCAAATAAATATCTGATAGTAATTCTTGTTTTACTCAAGGGCAAAGTATACATAATAAATATTTATCACTTGAAGGCTAAACATGTAATTAATAAAAAATCATTTTTAAATGAATTAAATTGAGCAAATCTACCAAATACTTGCTTATCTAATTTATGTTTGGATCTGTTTGTAAACCAACAGTTCGTCGCAGGGCCAGAAAGCGTGTTTCAGATAGTGATAAGGACGATGAAATCCTCCAACATGTCCACATTGTGTCAGAAAATAATTTTCCCACGGCTGCAGGCTTGGCATCTTCAGCTGCAGGATATGCATGTCTAGGTAGGTCATCATTTTTCTCTGGATGTTTTTTTGTTTTGTCTTAAAATTAAATTTCTCAATATGCACCTTCTAGTAAAAGAGCAAACCTATTTGTTGTTGTAGAAAAAATAATGTGGTTTTTTTTCAGTATTCTCTCTGGCAAAATTGTTTGGAGTTCAAGGTGAAATATCTGACATAGCAAGGTAGATTTTAGTTTTATATTAATGTATTATATTGATTAATCTATTTAAAAAATGTATATATTTTGCGATCTTCTGATATACTAATTTGTAATTCACGTACACAAATAGTGTAAATACATATAAACATTTCTATTGTTACATAGAAAATACATAAAGGTAAAATATGATGAAGAATTTTATCTACTTAGGTTGGGGTCAGGCAGTGCTTGTCGCAGTATGTATGGAGGATTTGTATCTTGGTGTATGGGAGAACTGGATGATGGCAGTGATTCTTATGCTGTACAGATAGCTACAGAAACACACTGGCCTGAGATGAAAGCTCTTATTCTTGTGGTAAAATATTCACATATTTGTTTAAATTACTATATAAAAATTTATAAAACACAAAACATTTTTTTAATTAAATTTTGTCACCCATTGTGATGTAGATGTCTATATAAAGTGTGCAGACACAGAGTGTGTGAGAGTGGCCTCCCCTTGGAAGTGTGGTGTAGTGTCAACTCAGTGTAGCAAGTGAATGTTCAATGTTTCTCTTGTAGTTGGTGGAAATTATACTCCAATGTACAAATTCACTTTGTGGATTGTGTTCTTTATTAGAGTTACACCTGGCCCCAAACGAGCCAAAAATAATTAGAAAGCCGAGTGTAACACCCATGTTTGAGTTTTTCTTTAATTAACCTTTTTAATGATACATATATGCATTCATCATTGTGTATTGTTTATAACAATGATGACAGGTGAGTGACCAAAAAAAAGATGTGGGGAGTACTGAAGGTATGCAGACCACAGTACTGACCAGCGAGCTCATGCAGCATCGGATTGAATGTGTTGACAGGAGGATGGAGGACATGATTGATGCTATTAGAATGAAAGATTTCCCATCATTTGCTAAACTCACCATGCAGGTCTGTGCAAATATTCTCTTGGTCTCTCAACATATTTAACATATTCTCTCATTTAGTAGTCGCACATGTACAACAATTCACTAGATGAATGTGTTTAATTCTGTCATTCAATATGCAACCACTCATATAGTGTGCTAAATTAGTTTAGTTTTAGACTTATTTCAACATAGTTTATATTGTTTGTGAATATTGCAATTTTTATTTTTGTACAGGATAGCAACCAACTTCATGCTGTCTGTTTGGACACCTACCCACCCGTGTTTTACATGACCGATGTGTCTCGGATGATCATTAGATTGGTGCACGCCATCAATGACATGTTTGGAGAAACTCTAGTAAGTCTTACAACAACATAAAATAGTAAGGGTCAAGAATAAAAATTACAAACTTTTTGTTTTGATCGGCAAAAGTTAAATTTGTAATACATGCATTAAGATAAATTATGTTTTGTTAAATTAATTGTGAAAGTTTTCCATGTTTTTGGCCTCCACTTCTTACTTCCCTGTGGAGTGCTGGGAGTAGAATCAAGTGGGTTTATCAACAATGACCATTTGATACGAATGACAGAACAGGACCAGTTAGTTACAATCCATGGTTAAATGCACTAGCTGGATTGATACAGATGACTACTTTCACAGCTTAAACAAAGATGACTTTCCCTGTTCTACTAGGAACTAAACTGTTTACATTATTCTCAAAGCTAAAAAGTCCTGTTGCCATGGTTCTAGTATAACTTTTGTCTTTCAGGTGGCTTACACATTTGATGCTGGGCCCAATGCCTGCCTGTACCTACTGGATGAAAGTGTCCCTCGTATCATGAGCATCATCAAACATTTCTTCCCCCCTGCTGCCACTGACTGCAGTTCTTTTATTACTGGCATCCCTATCCCAGATGAGCCTGCCTCTACTGTAAGTCAGCGCTGAGTGCGATAATGTTAAGTTGTATTTGAACTGAGTTGCACTGTTGATGTAAACTAAATCAACCAGATGTTCCAAAGTTGACACCCTAGTCTTGGATAAATTTAGAATAAAAAATGTGATTACAAGTTATTTTTTATTATTTAATTTATTTTTTAATTTCTTAGGCTGATATTGAACAAATCTGTTTGCCTGTAAGTCCAGGAGCAATCAAATATGTCATACATACTAAGGTATAGTGTCATTTTTATCACATTATATATATATAAATCTGAATGTATGTTTGAATTTGAGTCTGTCTGTCACCATTCATCCAATCAACATGAATCTTTGTCAAGTTATTGAGAATACTCCTGGGAAGGTTTCTGCGATTTAAAAGTTTGTCCCTCAAGCCTCCAAAATCTTTTGAAGGATAACTAAGTTTAGGTTTTTTAGCAAATAATATGAACTTTTTGTTTCCCTTTGTCCATAAAAATTTCTGGCATTGTAAAAAACTAAATGTGGGATGGTTAGCAAAACATTTTCCTCAGCGAAAAAGGGGTTACACCTAGTATAACCGTTGGCTTCTATTGAGAACCTGTGGTACTCCTTACACCTTGGCATTCCACAAGGGGTGTTCTACCTCACCCTTGCAGAGGGCGATTAACGTACACTGAAGGCTTGGTTTTTTTTTCCTCTGATGCAATATGCATCTGTTATTACAACTATAGTAATAGGTGTGGACAGAAAATGAGGTCACACTTATAAAATTATCATAATAAGTGTGCCTGAATTCTTTTCTTCTGAGATTAATCTCTGCAGCAAATGCAACAGGTACACAAAATGTGTATAGAACTTAATACTGAGAAAAGAGCAAGGGGAATACAACTTAACTCTACTGTACCAGAAGTAGTAGTTCATTGACATTTGTAAAATGGCTTTAAAAAGGTTGAAGATATTAGCATACTCATTTTGAAATTTTAGAGCTAAAAACTGCATAGAGAGCTGATTTGTTTCTTGTTGACAGGTTGGACCAGGGCCCCAAGTGCTGGATCCATCAGAAAGTTTATTTACAGCTGATGGCAAACCTAAATTGTAGTTGAGTTGTAATTTTCTTTATTGAAAGAATCAAATATTTTTGTCATCAATGTAAGTTATTTAGAACAAAGGTTTTTCTTTTTTGTTAATTTAAAAAAAAAGGTTTTTTAAGAGTTTTAAAATGTATAGTGTGACATTTTGTAGTACAATATTTTTTTATTTTTGACACAGTGCAATAAGATGTGGAAGATAATTTTATATTTTGTTGTCACTCAATCTGTTATGATGTTTTTGTTATTTTACTGCTACACTGATGAGTCATTTTGTCTTTGTTAAATTCAATCTTCCATCTGTGAATGAAAGCCTAGTTAAATGTTGCTTAACCATGGTGTTTTGGTTGGAATATTAGTTTCAAGATGATCAGTAAAGATGTGATCTATCTTGTTGATAATCTGACATTGTTTTAATCAATTACTTTGTTTCTTGCATAGACAAACTACATCAGTTGCTAACACATATTTTTCAGTGTGTAACATTCTAGATTTATAAATAAAGACTAGGTTGTTCAATTATCTTACATTTTATCATGGATTTGGCATTACAATGGAAATTTATTGTGCTATTATAAAATATGTAAAACATATAGTATTCTTAAAGGCAGCTTTTTCATTATCTATAGATTAGTCTAGCCAATTACTGTTTTATTTTTAGTCAACATTAAAATGTTTACAGATCTACACTTGGTGTGAACATTTATAAATTTGTTTAAAGTTCAGAAATATTTTTAATGAAAGATAATTTATTAATAATGCCTACAAAGGACAACATAGAGTTTTATCTCCATTATATTTCTTGTCTTGAAATATGTAAACATTTGTAAACATTTGGTTATTAAAGTTCAGATGCATTAGTCACATTTTTAATGTAAGAATAGTTATCATTTATTTACTAACCAGATTCTCATTCTAACTTAAGAATTAATTTTCCACATTTTTAGGAGTGGAATAAAAAAAGCACTGCCACACCATTCAAATTGTTTGTGTACTTTTGTATGGTCACATTTTTATCTTTACACTGGTCTGTTTTGGTTATTGATCAAACTATATATCAATTAAACATTTATCAACTAAGTCATTGTTTACTTTTCTCTTGATTCAATAGTTGAGCCTTTAATTAGAAACTTGAACATTATGTCCAAAGCAGAAAAAGATTTATTTTAGTATTATGTATACCATCATGTATTTTAATGGAAAATAACTTGTAAAATATATAGCATGTATGTAGGGGTAAATCTTTATGGACCTATGAACAATATATAGTACAGATGAAGTAGAGTTTATTTGCTGCTATATCCATTGCTTATTAAGTTTTGCCAAGATTAAGTAGCGCTGGTGGAACACAAGTAGACACATGAAATTTGAAATCAGTCATTTAATTGTTACATTACAATTTACATAAACAGAATTAATCTCAAACAATAGTATTTCACTACATTCTGTTTTAAAATTAAGGTAGTTGTTTTTATTTTCTTATTGATTTACTTTCACCTCAGATCCTCTGACATAGGTTCCACATGTGCTATGGAAGATACCAGAAACTGATATTTTTAGACCTATTACATCCTTTTTCAAGTGGTCATCCATAAATGATGTCACGCTTTTTTGGATGATTTTTACCTCCCCCCCCTCCCCTCCGTCACACATTGTCACAAAAAGCCAGACCCCCCCCCCCCCCTAAAATCATGTTACACAACTACCCTCAAAATTGCAGTTGACTTTTTTTTTAAACATCGATATTTTTCCAAAATCTTGTCTGAACGCTGTCAAAATAGAGTATTTTAATCAATTCTTATTAGAATTTATTAAAACAGTTTTCTAAAACACGAAATAACGTCTAAAATTCGTTTTTTAACATTGCTTTTTTATAATGCAAAAGTGTGACGTCCCACAATCTGAACCCCCCCTCCCCACACACCATCACAAAATTAAGGACCCCCCCCCTCCCCCCTACGAGTGTGGCATCATTTATGGACGACCCCCCAACTCTAGTCATGGTACAAATAATAGTTTGAAAAAACATTACAGAAACACACTATGATTGTAACAATGAAGCAGCTGTCATGGAAACTGCTCACAAGAAAACAAAATGCAACATATAAGGCTTTTAAAACAACTTCTTAGAATTACTAAAACAGACCTTCTGTAAAGTAGTTACATTATCAATGAGACTAAAAATGTCCTAATTAAAAGATACATTAAGAAAACAAACTATAATATCATTTTAAAAAATTCAATAGTTAATAAAACAACCACTGTACTTAGGTAACAATTGAAAGCTTGTAAGTGGGTTAAAATGGATTGATTTTACAAGCAACATAAACATAAGGTCCATATACATTAACATCAACAATAACCTTTATCCAAACATCATATTCATTTAAAATACCTTTGTTTAATGCATAAGTCTGAATATCAGACTTTAGAGTAATGGAACTTGTTTTATTAGTTCCCTTTTCTTGAAAGACTAGCTCTTGATCCAGTAATTTATAAGGAATAAATTCTAAATTCCATGGAAGTTTCCACCTTAAAATATATTTAGCTTTATTGTCTAAAGTTTCTTCTGTACAGGACAAGAACCTGACAGGTCCTGGCATCATAGGTGGGTTTGATGTTACACTTTTTAACCTCACTGCGTCTGTCCTGGCCAGAGCCTGGGCTGTTAGGGTTGCCACAGTGGACACATCAACCTCTGTGTCCTGGTAAATGTGGTACAACCACGAGGGGTCATTACAACACAGGTGATCTGCAACTTGAGTCTCTTCCCTAATCTTGGCTTGAACATCCTCAGGTAGATGACGGATGCCACCCAAGTCACCTGACCAGTCAGGATGTGGAAATGATTTTTGCTTGAATGGATTAGTCCAAGAAGTGTAAATAATTCCTGAACTAGGTATATCGCAAAAAGTTTTGAATGGAGTGTATTTTTCTGGGTTAACTGCATAGGGAAATAATTCAACAACAACAGATCCTGGCTTAAGAAAAATTGACAAAGATAATAGTGATCCATGCATGCCGATGATTCCTCTGGAGTTCCTCACAATTGAAATTATATCATTTAAAGAATGGGTTTCTAAACTGACTGACATAACTTTCAGTTTTGTAGAGCGGACAAGCCCCATGATAAACTCCCCTTCATTAAGAATAAGTCGATTGTCTTTTCTAGATAAAAGCACCAAGAAGTTGTTCTCACTACAGAAGACACATTCAGAATGGAAATGTTCAGCCAAATAGCTGGTAGCTTGTCTGACTTTGTGCATGAGTTTAGATCCATTTATCGGCAATGGTCCCTGAGGTTTAAAAAATCCGTACTGGTACCATAAGGTGGACTGGGACAGCCCTAGATGTGCAGTCTTGAAGCATAAAACATCAACATTAGATTTCAGGTGGTGTAAAAATAAAGGCGGCACTGATGATAAAGATAAGTACAGTGGGAGGAACTCTGTGCTGGTCAAACTGTCAGTAAATATCAAGCGAACATCTGAACTAGAATCTCCAAGCAAGTTTAAAGTGCGAAGGGTGTGAAATAATGGAAGAATGTCATCATGCAGTACATGCATTATGTTATCTGGTTTAAAACGGCTCATGATGATTGAAGTCCCATCCAACCACGCCACAGAAAATTTACTGAGACTCTCTGTGGGGATGGTAACTAAGGACAGCATGTGAGCGTTGTGACCAGGGACTGTTGAGAGGTTGATTGTAAACCAATCTTCTGGATTCTGCAAGTCTGGATCAAACTCTAACTGGCTAGTGTTAGACCTGAAGAATATAAAATCTTTTTCAGCTGTTTTATAACACAAGTTGTGAAACTGGCAGGATTTAGTGGAGGTACCATCTGTCTTACACCAAGATGATGTGCCTTGGCTGCTTAACGAATCATACACTTTTTTATCTAAATTCTTATTTAATATTCTTACACCGATAGGATCAGATGGTATCTCATGAACATTATACTCATTATTTACACCGTTTGACGGTAGCTCATAAAGGTGCATTGGTTCAATATTCTCTTCATTTTCCACATCATCTAAAACTTCACATTTTACGTTTTGACAAGACTGAACTTTTCTTCTGTTTTCCTTTTCATACAAAGGTTCCTCTGTTGATAAAATTATCTCTTCAGTTTTCATTTCATCATTCACATGTGTCACATAATATTCATAATCCCTGACTGACATTGACATATCCATTGCAGATTTTATAATTTCACTTGTCTCTGGAATTTGCACTTTGCTAAAATCAAAACGTGTCTTGCTAAATGGTGCATCAGTCTGCAAGATCTGAGCCTGTGTACTTCCATCATCTACTTGAAGATCATTTCTTTCAATATTGTCAATTTTTTTGATTGGCCTATTTATATATGTGCTGGATTGCAGAAGTGGCTGTTTCACAGAAACATACTTGTTGTCATCAACGTCTGCTTGTGATACCAAAGAGTGGGTTTCACTACTGTCTACATGAGTTACCTCTGTTGTTTGAAGATGACCAGTAGAAAAAGTAGCCCCAGTTTGTTCTTCAAATAGGCCATCAGTCTTTCCAAATTGATCTACTAAAAGACTTTCAGTAGAAGCCACAGCACTGGTATAAAAAAAACTTTGGGAAACAGACAAGGTTGGAGCAGTTTTAATCAATTCTGTTGTCTTGGAGATCTGCTGACCTGACGTCTGCTCCTGCAAGTGTTCCAGAGAGTTGTAGTTGCTGTGGATGTTTGAGCTTGCTGTAGATAAAAGTTGGTGGTGATAGGCAGTTGCTTTTGGTAATTTTGATACTGCATCACATAGATGTTTCAACTCCTCATGGTTTAGATAAAGTTGAATGTAGAAGTGGCTGAGTGCAACAACTATAACAAGCGTACAGATATGAATTAGTAACTGTAAGTCAAACATCCTCAGCTAAAGTGGACCTGTACTGTAGGAAAAAAAAGGAAAAATTTGAATTAAGTTAAGGTAGTATTATACAGCAAAGGTTTGCCTACTAACTATAGACCTAGGGCCAACTACACAATTAACTATGTAATGTCAAATGTTACTACTACTACAATCTAGAATAGATCTACTTATACTAGTCTTATACTTATAAGTTAATTATTAATTATATCAGCATGGGATGGGTACACAACACCAGAGTTTCTTCCAGCCCCCCCCCCCCCCCTATTTCAAATGTAATCCTAGTTTAGTTAAGTTTAGTGATTAGAGCAAAAAAGCGAGTCAAGGCTAATTAGTAATTAGGCCTCGAAAGATCTACTACAGTACACAATACTTTTTATTTTTTATACTAGATCTAGATCTTAGATTTGAATCTAGACATTTTTAACATTAATCATCATGGTGGTGAATCCTGTGACTAGTCACAGTGGTGAGTGATGGGTAGGCCTATCAATATATTTAAATTTTAAATATTATCATACATGGCCTATGTCACTGGCTAGAATTCTAGAACTAGATCTAATCAATTCTAATCTATAGATCTACTTATATATTATATAATATTGTATATTGATCTAGGTAAATCTAGTTAGTGCGTCTGTGCTTTTTAAGTAAATTTAGATTAGATCTAGACATAACTGGACCATATCTAAATTCTAGATCGGATCTAACTAGAAGAATGTCTAGACTGAACCTACTCTGAAGTTTTTCCTATCAAAATTCGTAAACATTAAAGTAGGTCAATGCCGGGTCAAAGGTAAACGGTGAATAGTTAAATTTATATTATGTGTAGCACATGCAGTAATTATTTAATAATTAATCTCAGTTCCTTAAAAATGTATGGAATTTAGTCATTCTAAACACACACATAACATACATACATGCACACACACACAATATATATATATATATATATATATATATATATATATATATATATATATATATATATATATATATATAGGGCCTATATATATAATTAACAGTAGTCCTACTACTTACAAAGGCAGAAAAATGACGACAAAAGCAATCTTATAGGCTGCCTGTTAACAACTAATAGATCTAAATTAGACTCTACCACTAATTTGAAGCTGTTACATCAATAGTGATTCGATGATAACCAAATGAAATTTCTCAATAACAAAATCGTGTATAAATGAAATGCACACCTGAGGCTCTAGTATATAGATTAGTCTAAATTTCATTTTTATATCGCTAAATCTACATTACATTGTATCTACTAAAGTCTAAAGTAAGTAATTAGTAAACTAATGGTAATAAGCAGGCTAACTAGCCCGACAAATTCCTCAGTTTTTCAGTTTCGAAAATTAGAATAAACTAGTTAATGTACTTTGTTAAGGTATTTTTATTATTATTAACTGAATTTAGATCTAAATATAACTACCCCCTTTAGGAAATTATTAAATTTGGATGGGCCTACATCTTTCTTTTAAAATGTCAATAAGCCAAGTCTGAAGCTCGACACCGGCGTCACTGAGCATCCAATCAAATTTACCGTAACTGTAAATATGTTTATTCCGCGAACTTTCACGTGGTGAATTCATCGATCAGCTGCGTGAAGCCTCTTTTAGTTCCATCATTATTATACCCCAAAAGGACAAGCCTCTGCGGCATCTGTCTAGTTTAGACCATATGGTGTTGGGTTGGATTGTTTCACATGCGACTAATAAAGTTTCGACGCCTTGTTGAGCCTCCACATTTGTAGTGTTAAAATTCACAAGCAGCTGTGACGCTCAGTATAATTGTTTCAAATCTTGCTATACAAAACACCTCAACCATTGGACTTGTTATTGCACTGGGTTTTGCTGCTTCTGCATTCTAGACTATAGCGGGTAAGAGAAGCTTTTGTTTTGAATGATTTCTTTTTGCTATAAAGGTGCCTCAATTATTATTTTATTAGATGTAAAAAGTGTTTCTCACATATGCTAATTAATTACAGTTAACTGTTATAGAATATTCTAGATCGTTGTACAGGTTTATGGAGCTTCCGTAGTTAATTTGTACGCACTATAACAAAAAATATTAATTTGGCGATATTTTGTAACTATTAAAACGCCGCTTATATTTTCAAGTTAGTTAACATTGTCGGCAATGTACAGAGCTGCTTTCGGGGTATTGTAAGATAGTGCCGTATCCCAGACCTCCAGTAGTGGAATCATTTGTTCTTTTTGAAACATTAATAAAATATGCCGGACAAAGTAACACACTAACTAGATGCAGAAAGGAAGATGGTATACTTGTAAGGTGTATCACTTTCAAGAGCCCTTACGTGGTCAGTGCTTAATTTTCATTAGCAAAATACTTGAACCCCCCCCCCCCCCCCCCCCCCGACTCCCCCGGCAGCAGCACTTAAAGATTGAATTGTCAGAACGTGGAGCAAAAAAAAATTCCGGTAGTTTCTCTGCTTCCATTTTTCTCTAGTTGCTGCCGCCAACTCCCACGCGAGGCGGGTCGGGATCTTTAATTTATGCTAACCACCCCGGGTGTGTTGCCAGCCCGCCCGTGTTTATTATTGTTTACCTTAATCAGATGCAATGTATGTGCCGGCGCAGGAGTATAATCGAAATAGTTTGTACTTGGTACTTTTTGTAAACACTGAACAAAACAGTCCACGTTTGATAAAGCGAATCAATCGAACAGTTTCCTCGTGTTTCAACGAGCTTCTCAACATGAAATGAAATAAGAGACGGCTGGCTTTGCAGAACAAGCTATTCAAACATCTTGGTAATGTGGAACAGAACAGCGAACATAGTGTAACAGTAGCAGACCTTGTTCTTAATTTGCAATAAAAAATTAAAAATGCAGTATTTATGTACATACAATTGTTGTATACATCCGAATTGATTTAAAACGAGAAATCTTTGGAAAAGTTTGAAGCAAAAGAAAGATGAATTATTGTCTAAAAATAGATTGGAATCTTCCCCATGACTCTCCCCCCCCCCTCGTGACGTTGATCGTCGTAAACAGTGTACTTTATGGAGAAGGGGGGGGGGGGGAGGGCGGAACTTTAGAAGTAAAATAATGTGACACGTCGAATGCTATTGTAGCATTGCTGTTTATAAATCATGGATGGCCCTTTGAACACAATGCTTTTAATGAATGGACCAGTTACGTTTTCAACTGCGTGAACATGCGCAGTCAAAATATAACAATCGTAACACTGCATGCAGCCTTGTTTTTTCCAAACGTGTCATCGCATTTCCGCTTACGGCACGTGAGGGTTAGAGCGTGACTCGTGATATACGCATGTCCAACATTCATAAACATTTCACGCACTGTAAAGCGTAAACATAGCGTCTCATTTTCTAGGTTCAGTCTGGGTCATCACGCTCGTGGATTAAAAATTAGTAGCATTGCTACCGACTGAAACTAATAGTATAGCAACTGGAGATTGCGGTAGTTCGTCTTGCAGGCTTTGATTCGAAACTGGTGAACACATTATTTTTTGCAGCAAATATTGACACAGTCGTTACTGTTTAGGTTAAGATTGTTATTTTACTAATTTATACTTGATTAGCTTCGGTGCATGAAATTGATTTTATCAGTAACTAGGTAAAGTGGTTCTGCGATTTTAAAGGCAGGGCCGGCTATTTAACTAAAGCGTGATTTTGATTGATGATTGTTACAGTTTTATGATTGTTACAGTTTATGATTGTTACTGTTCTATGATTGTTACTGTTTTATGATTGTTAGTTTTATGATTGTTACAGTTTTATGATTGTTACAGTTTTATGATTGTTACTGTTTTATGATTGTTACTGTTTTATGATTGTTACTGTTTTATGATTGTTACAGTTTTATGATTGTTACAGTTTTATGATTGTTACAGTTTTATGATTGTTACAGTTTTATGATTGTTACAGTTTTATGATTGTTACAGTTTTATGATTGTTACAGTTTTATGATTGTTACAGTTTTATGATTGTTACAGTTTTATGATTGTTACAGTTTTATGATTGTTACAGTTTTATGATTGTTACAGTTTTATGATTGTTACAGTTTTATGATTGTTACAGTTTTATGATTGTTACAGTTTGTCAACTATTAGCTCACAATGCCCGAGACAACGGAAAACCCCGCCCCCGAGGCAGACGCCAAGCCGGCGGAAGCCGCGCCCCCTGCGGCACCGGCCGCCCCTGTCAAAGAGATGAGGAGTGTGGTGCTGACTGGTTTCGGTGGGGTCAAGATGATGAAAGTCCAGCAGAAACCAGAGGCCAGCGCGGGGGACGGGGAGGTGCTCATCCGTGTCAAGGCATGGTGAGTTACGTCATTGTTTCAGTCAGTGGGTTATCTGCTCCTGCTGGGTAGTTTTTCTAGCTAATCTGATCCAGAGTTTCTTCCAGGCATCTCTTTGCCCCCCCCCCCCCCCCCGAGAAAAAGTCTGGAAGAAACACTGATCTGATCCCCATCAATGTGCTCTTGCCATTTTGGACAAGGCCGTAATTTAGAAATTTTCAACACTACTGGCTTTTTCTGTAGGTTATCTGCCCCTGGTAAATGTTGCTTGCCATCCGCCTCTGCTGAATTTTTTTACTGTTGATTTTGTACCCCTGTCATTTATTTCATTAGATCAGCACACTTAATTCCTCAACACCACAGCATGCATAGTATATATATATATATATATATATATATATATATATATATATATATATATATATATATATATATATATATATATATATATATAATGTGTGTGTGTGTTAAGTAGTTGTTTGCTTTGTGTGGTAATTTGGACTCCATTGAGACTCATGAACTTCCTGTACTAAAAATGTTGGAGGTAAATATTCAGAAAAAAAATGTCAACGTAATAAACACGACAAAAAATTCTAGTAGCTCTAAACGTGATGTTCAAGTTATTGAGTCCCAGTCAGTGGTGTAACACAAGAGGTTGATAATTTGAAAGCCGGCATTGAAGGCGGCTTTGTGTTTCACTCACAGAGTAGCATCTCCAGGCCAGACCCTGGATGGTCTCTAGCCCCAAGTCACGCGAATATCTTTCAGGCCGGTGACTCCTGACATCTGGCATTAAGGGTGGTATAAGGGGGTTGGGGGGGGGGGGGGGAGAGAGAGAGAGAAAGGGAGAGAATGAGCAAGCGAGGGGAAAAACGTAGGGGACATAACTATTGCTTAAAAAGTGCGAGTTATTTTTTTTTTTAAATCACACAACGCACGAAGAACTCGCCCCATCTCACCCGCCTCATTCATGAAATATTCTGATAAATTGGTGTCAAGGTCATGATGGAATTCCCGGACTGGACACATAGAGTGTTGTGTGTTTACAAAGAGCGCTCTCCTTGCATGGGAGATTGTTTAGAGTGCACGCAGTCCAAAACAACATTCTGCGCTTTTCTCACATAGACCCACGTATGCGTTAACCATCTTTTAATCCAGGGGAATAACAACAAAAATAGCCTTGACCTAAATTTGTGTATTGCGCTTTGTCGGGGATATAAAACTTTCTTTATTTTAAAATTTTATTTTCACGCCGTCGCTACTTTTTATAGTGGAGAAAAAAAAGGCGGGGGGGGGGGGGGGTTAAGGTAGCTATTACACCCTTTCCATGGAGCCCCAACATCACGCGCTTAGCTCTTTGTTGATGGTGCACTTATGTTGCTTGTTTAAAATTTTACAATTTTAAATGTCTTTAAAACAAAAACTTTGAATTATTTCAAATAATTCGTTATACACGTTTTTAGATAATTTGATTGTTCTAGGCGAATTACCATTACTGCTGTATCGTTTGTGATGTTTTGTTTTTAACTCATCTTCTAGTGAGGTGTTGTATAGTTTCTGATTTTTTTTTTTTTGAATTTTGTTTTTACCTTCGGGTTTTGTCTAGATAAGCCCCGCCACTAATGCAAACAGTGCACGCGCGAAAAGTTAAGCCCCGCCACTTTTTGCCTGCTCCAATTTAATTCACGTGCACAACCTTGAGGGTTCGGGTTAAAGGTAGCGAAATAAAGACATAGACATGCGCATTGTTAACTGTCATGTCCCGATTTCACCCTCTTCAGTACAAACTAAAGGTACAATTTATTTTTGGTGGGTGGGGGGGGGGGGGGGGGGGGGGTAGCTTCTTTGGCGGCGCTTAGCCGGACAGGAACCTTATCTTTTAGTAAGATGTACAATTTTATGTGTTTTTACCTCAACCTCTAGCGGGATGTTGTATAGTTAATATTGTTTTTATCTCATCTCCCAGCGGGATGTTGTATAGTTAATATTGTTTTTACTTCATCTCCCAGCGGGATGTTGTATAGTTAATATTGTTTTTACTTCATCTCCCAGCGGGATGTTGTATAGTTAATATTGTTTTTACTTCATCTCCCAGCGGGATGAGTTTCCCCGACCTGATGGTCAGGCAGGGTGTGATTGACCACCCCCCTAAAACACCAATCATCATGGGCTTTGAGTGTGCTGGTGTTGTGGAGGTTGTAGGAGCGAATGTCACGGATTTTGTGGTAAGTAGAAATTATTCAAGTGGTGTTGTTGTCTTAAGTTTAAGATGGTGGGTAGAGTGTATAGTGCTACAGGTGTATACAGTTTATAGGGCTACATCATGTGTATACAGTGCATAGGGCTACATTATGTTTATATAATGTATAGGGTCACATCTGTACAGAGTGGATAGGGCCACATGTGTACATAGTGTACACAGGTATGTGGTATAGAAGTTAAAATGTGTAACACAAGTCATGAGCTGGCAAGTTTTAGCGCTAGTTTTTCCAATGTGTGTATTTGTAAGTTTAATGTGTAGAAACTTTGTCTTAGAGTTTTTGGTTTTCTCCAACGTGTGGAGGATGGTAAACCAGTCTCTCAGATAACCAGCTATGGTGTTTACATTTTTTACTTGTTGTTCTACCCTACTGTACTGGTGTCAGTAATTTATTTAGTTTACTTTAAGTAGTGTTGGTCTGAACGTTTTATCGGATAGTACACAACATATGCGGATAACGATAGTACACAGAAGTACTGCAATTTACTGATGCAACCACCCTCACTTCAACTTATTTTTAGAAACTTTCCATGACGAGTCATTCGCATCCCCCCCTGACCTACTCTCCAAAAACCCATGCCTGAAGCTACCTGCTAGTTATTGATCTAGTATCGATTCTGTTTTAAATGAGATCGAAACATTAGCATAAGTAATGAAGCAGCTTTATATCTCATCGTCTGCATCGATTTAGTCCAGGATTTACTGATTCGCCCCCCCCCCCACGTGACACCCTCGTGACCCCCGCGGATGTTTGAGTCCTACCACTATCCTCAATACGACTGTTGTGTGTGGGGGGGGGGGTATGTTTTAGTATAAGTACAAGACAGAGGCGTAGCGACCCTTCCCGGCGCCCGGGGACATACTTTCAATTTGGCGCCCCCCTCTGGAGCAAATTTTCGATTTGCACCCCCCCCCCTCGAACTTTTCATTTGCACCCCTCCCCCCTCAAACTTTCGATTTGCACCCCTCCCCCCTCAAACTTTCGATTTGCACGCCCCCCCCCCCCCCCCTCGAACTTTTCATTTGCACCCCCCCCCCTCAAACTTTCAATTTGGCGCCCCCCTAAGGTCGGCGCCCGGGGACATATGTCCCCCCCCCCCCCCCCCTCGCTACGCCTCTGGTTCAAGACGATCGCCTGACCAGTGGTTAGATTAAAAAGGCTTTGACTGATTTCTTCCATCTTGACAACAACACAAGGCATCAGTAAATCAACTCGCTGTCTTCTCGTTTGAATAATTAATTAGGGCAGGGACGTACAGAATGTTTTTAAGGCCAAGTTTATCTTTCACTACTTGATTCTGTATACTGGTGTAGAGGGGAGAGGGTGTGGGTGGTTGTATGACGTCATCATGTGCTGTGTTAGCGTTATTGGTGTAGTGTAAAGGCCCCCGGGGGGGGGGTTCAATGACGTCATGTTGTGAAGTTTTCTTTAGTATAAAAATTTCAAGAGCATGTTTTGTGACGTCCCAGGGTGAAGGTTATCTAGTGTAAAGGGGGGGGGAGGGTTTAATGACGTCATAATGTTTTAAATAGTCTCGTGTAACGGCTATTAGGACGTGTCAGTGTTCTGGAATAAAATTATCCCCCGGGCATTACCGTAATGGATGCTTCCATCGATAATCTGACTTGAGGTAATCCTGTCAGTATTTAGCGCGCGAATCTCACATGCATAAGCTGGTTTCTATAAGACCACGTCTTAAATCTATAGATTTATTTTCGATGTTCATTTTATGGGCGTAAAGTTTTTTGTTGTTTAAAGAATACGAGTGACACAAATTAAAATGAGCGGATGAGAACACAATAATGTGCAATTTGTATTTGCGATTTTTGTGTGTAAATAAAGCTTTTCCGGTTTTTTTTTAAATTTAACTCAAAATTGTAATTCAAAATGGCTTTAACTCGATCAGACACGTTAGAAGTTAAAAAACAAACCGTGCTATTTTTAGTTTAACTTGAAACTTAGCAGAGACCTCAATCGATAGAAGAATTGACGTTGATAGGGTTACACGTTGGCCTGTATAGACACCATTCGACATCTTTACACGGCCACTTGATGGCCCGTACATCTTTACACGGCCACTTGATGGCCCGTACATCTTTACACGGCCACTTGATGGCCCGTACATTTCTGTCAGTAGATGGCCTGTACATCTTTACACTGTCAGTAGATGGCCCGTACATCTTTAAAATATCATGGCCTGTACATCTTTACACTGCCAGTAGATGGCCTGTACATCTTTATACTGCCAGTAGATGGCCTGTATATATTTCAAGTACACATTTTCAAACATTGTAGGGATTGATACATGTACCACACAGTGTGTTAGATATACACACAACTAATGTTGATATGTTACACATTACAATTTTCTTGGGTTACACATCCATATGGATTGAAGTAAGACTAGATCAACAATGCTATCTACGATTCTATCGATAAATCGCGGCCCTCTCTGATTAAGTCCCCCACCAAGGTAAACTACAGCTGAGATTACATCACTTTAAAAAAATTTAATTCATTGATAAAAAAAATCAATGGACGACACTATGCAAAGCGCACTGGGATGCCTCATCTGTTGATAGTAGGAAACAGCTTGGTTTTTGTGTTGGTTGATCCATTACATTCCCTTGTCATCTATTCAGTTCTCTCCCGTGTTGATTCTACCACAGTACTCTCCCCTGCTGATTCTTCCATAGTACATTCCCCTACCTTTAAAAAAATCAATCTCACTGCTTTTCTCATATTTTTGTATTTTATCCCCCCTTCCACAGCCGATCGACTGTCCATCATTGTCTGTAATGTGTTTACTCCTGTCTTGTGTCTACACTCCGCCTTATGCTAGATCAGTCTGAATGTTTTTTTTAATACTTTATTTTTCTCGACAAATACATTCATGTTACGTCATATTTCCTAACCACTCCCCCTCCACCTTATACAACAGTCACAAAAGTTTGACCCCCCCCCCCCCACCTCATCAACCTTGATGACTTCACCCCCCCCCTCCCTCACCAAGGCCCACAACTCACTTGATACTATAGACTATAGACGTATCTCTTGCCACCATAACCCACTTGCCTTGAGACGTAGAGTACGACTAACGCTATATGTGTGTTTATTATGTATTGGCCTCGATTTATTATCGTCGTTTTATTAACCTGTATGGGATCCTAGATTTATTAATCTGTATGTGATCGTCGATTTATTAACTGTATGTGATTGTCGTGTTATTAACTGTATGTGATTGTCGTTTTATTAACTGTATGTGATGATCGTCGTTTTATTAACCTGTATGGGTTCCTAGATTTATTAATCTGTATGTGATCGTCGATTTATTAACTGTATGTGATTGTCGTTTTATTAACTGTATGTGATTGTCGTTTTATTAACTGTATGTGATTGTCGTTTTATTAACTGTATGTGATGATCGTCGTTTTATTAACTGTATGTGATGATCGTCGTTTTATTAACTGTATGTGATTGTCGTTTTATTAACTGTATGTGATTGTCGTTTTATTAACCTGTATGTGGTCGTCGTTTTATTAACCTGTATGTGGTCGTCGTTTTATTAACCTGTATGTGGTCGTCGTTTTATTAACCTGTATGTGATGGTCGTCGTTTTATTAACCTGTATGTGGTCGTCGTTTTATTAACCTGTATGTGGTCGTCGTTTTATTAACCTGTATGTGGTCGTCGTTTTATTAACCTGTATGTGATCCTAGATTTATTAATCTGTATGTGGTCGTCGATTTAGTAAGTTGTATGTGGTCGTCGATTTAGTAAGTTGTATGAGGTCGTCGATTTAGTAAGTTGTATGAGGTCGTCGATTTAGTAAGTTGTATGAGACCCTAGATTTGAGCAATCAAAGATTAATGAAGTGTTGCTGTATTGTGTAATTTGAATGTACAGATTGCGACATCTCTTCAGCGGAGTCTTTTTTTTTCCTAACATAAACAATGGAGGTGAAGTGATATCTCACGTGAAATCTCCTTTCTGCAAATGTCATTTAGACAATAAAACAGGGTTTTGTATAAATATAGAAGGATTTCTAACCGAACAACTTATGTTTTGTTGCGTTTTATTTATAATCACCTTCCGCAACATTTGGACTATATTTTCTTTCTTTCCGTCATAAGATTATATCCAACAAATTATAAACTAGTTGCTTGCTGTGTTGCCTACCTCTGCAACAAACTCTAGTTTTATTTTCATCATTTATGTCATTTTTACCAGGCCCATCTAGCGCTCGTGGCCTCATTACTCTAGAATATTTAAGTGACATTAAAAATATCTGCCCCACTTATTCACACCGTTTTTACGAGCTAATCCCCCCTCCCTCCATTAATCCAGTCACATGATGCAGACAACCGTCAGCTGATGAGGTGAATCATGACGTTACGTTGTCTCTTTGTTTTTGGTCGAGTGAATTTTATGGGCCCATCACCTTGAAGGCTCGGTATATCCTGTTTAATGGCTCATAACTCGATCGAGTAGGCTCAAATATCCGTGCTCAGTGGCTCAAATATATTGGCTCAATAATCTGTTAGTGGCTTTAAGTTATTGAATACTTGGTTCAATAATCCTTTTGAATAGCTGAAACATGTAGGGTATTCTTCAAATTGTTGGAATAACAGTAGGCAGGATTTGTGACAGAAACCGTGTTTTTTTTTTTATTAAAGACGAATGTTCGGGACAATAGTTACGTTTGAAGTAACTTTTTTTCTTTCAATACACACTGGACTCAACACAAGTTGTATCTGACACGGCAAAAGTCGTATCTGACACGACAAAAGTTGTATCTGACACGACAAAAGTTGTATCTGACACGACAAAAGTTGAATCTGACACGACAAAAGTTGTATCTGACACGACAAAAGTTGTATCTGAATGCCCATGGATGGCCATGTGGCTCTACTTCCCATGGAGGGCCATGTGGCTCTACTTCCCATGGAGGGCCATGTGGCTCT